GCTATGTTGCGAGTTGGTCACTTGTGAATTGGGTAAATGAGGGGAACTCTTTCTTCATGGCCTCGCAAAGTCCAGACATAATCCAGCCACTTCTTGGAGGCTCCTAGGTAGCTGCGAAGGTATTAGACGCACCGCAAATCCGATTGTAACTGGTCTTGCCTATGCATATCTTCATCCTACTTTTAATCCTCCAAGTATGCCTGCTAGGCACAGGGGGTAAGGGCGTTGCGACTTTAGAGCTTGAGGGCCCCTTAGATTAGGGACTGGATGAGAAATTCGCCCAATCCTTTAAGCCAGCAACCCTTCATCCACATGTGTCCTATCCGGCAGAACTCCGTCGAGCATGCGCCCAACTGATCTCTCAATCTACATTCTCAAGATTCAGAAGCCCTGAAAACCCCTGGGAGAGCAACTATGAGATTGCTCCAAGAGGTTTTGTTGCGGACCCTGTTCTTTATATGTCGTCAGCAGAGAAGCGTCCTCAGAGACCTTCAGAGACCGCGCTTTTGCAAGCGCAGCTTCCAACAGTGCGAGGTCACCGCTGTCAATGGCAGCCTGTACTCTCAAGCTAGGGTCCAAGCTTTAGGGTTTTGGGGTTTGTCTCTGGGCTGTCGTAGCGCCTGTTCAGTGGAGGAGTTTGACTCTTCAGCTATTGCAACCGCACAGACCTATATACTCCAATGTAGCCCTGTACGTACTTCTCCTCCATTTGAATCTCCATTACTGGGGGGTAATATCCCTAAACCCCATACAGTCCACATAACATGGAAAACATACACCCGCCCATGTCATCAGAAGTGAACATCAAGGCCTGAAGTTCCTCCGCTGCTTTTGCCCGGGCTTCTGCTTCCTGGTGCTGGAAGAAGTGACAGGAATGCGACAAAGAGAGGTTTCGGGATTATGTGCAGAAGTAGCTGCGAGTATGGATTCCCCAAACTCACGAACAAGAATCAACAGGACCCGCCTTTAGGAAAGATGGTATCAACACCTTCAGTTTTCGGTCTTCTGCCGTCGCCCATACCCTGCCCATCAGTCCTTCAACTTGCAAAGGCGATCACGTGCTTTCCTGGCAATCCATAGGCAGGGCGTGCTTTGAGGGCGCTGTTGGGCCCAAAAATGAGATTCGCTCTAATTCCCCAAAGGTCCATGTAGCCATAGAGTCTTAGAGGATATGCTTGGGCCCCAAAACATTTGCGTGGGAATCCCTTTGGCCCTATGTATTTACCATATTGCTATATACGTACATGGACCCTGTTGGAAGCACTATGACATTGTTGCTGCACGGCCCGTCGCAGGAGAATTGTGATTGCAGTGTACAATGCCTGGTCCTAAGATTCCTGATGTTTACATAGACCCTATAATCAGCCTATAATACCCTACAAACCCGAAACCCTTGGTGCAAGCAGTGACAGGGTGAATGTGGATCGCCACTGAGACAGCAAAATGTTGGGCGGATAAGCATTTACGGCGTGCATGACCGCTGCGCTGCTCCACAGTTGCTACTGCATCAGCATATCTGTCAGAGAAATTTGGCATGGTTGATGAATGGGGAGTAAGGTTGTAAAACGAGTTCTTGTGGGCTGATGCCTAGTATTCCCCGAAGGTCCCCTTGAAGGGTCTGATTAACGGGTGTTAGCTGCCCTGAACCAAAATCCAAATCATCATGCTGACGGAGGCAATCCCACACCACCTAGAGGCCCTGTGTCTTTGGAATTAGAATAGCTTGGAGACCCTATAGGTCCTAGGTGCAAAGTTTCCTATGCAAAGCTGTGGAACGTAGCCCCAAATTCAAATCCGAAAGTCCAATCCGAATGCGAAATTAACGCTCAGACATTGTCCTGAACCCTTTGGCTCGCTAGCTGCCGCTAACTTGAACACTTGTGGCCAGGCACTCAAGCACATCTGACCCAACACCAGCTGCTTCTGCATCCTTCAACGCATTCTCAAGAACCTGCCGGGCAAGAAATGGGTCCCAGCTTGGGGGGTCTTTGTAACAAGGATGCCAACAAAGCAGGCAGGAAATCCATACTTCTGAAAGTCACCCAGGCGGGCTGTCGGAACGAGACCGCGCAGTAACGCGGGGCTTCAGGATAAGGAAAGGGGGCAGCAACAGCGCGCATGTTCCGCGGGCAGTCTGACCCCTAGACTGTTGCTGCCGGGGCCGACCAAATACACAGGGGTCGCATTCCTAAGACATTGCCCAGTAAGATGCGAGCCTGGATGTCATGGCCCTCCATGGCCCTGAAAAGAGAAGCTTGCGCGCAAGCAGCATACATCACCGCTTCAGCTGCGCGTAGAACCTTAGGCGCGGCTGCTAGAATCAGACCCTGGTGAGAAGTTGGGCGTCTTGTTGTCAAAGGCCTTCAGAAAAAGCTCTCAGCTTCGGTGTGTGGTGTGTGAGGGAGACGGCTGTGTTGAAAGTTGGTCACTTGTTCTGGGCTATTGGGCAAATGAGGGGAACTCTTTTCTCGTAGCGTCACAAAGTCCAGACATAATCCAGCCGCCACTTGGAGGGAGGCTCCTAGGTAGCTGCATACGCGCATGTAGGGTTAGAAGCACCTCCAACATAATTAACACTGTTCTTTTGCATATCGTCATCCTAATTCTAAACGTTGAATCCTCCAAGTATGCTTGCCTGTTCTAGCACAGGGTCGGACAGGCATTGCGACTTTAGAAATCTAGGGTCATTTAGATTAGATGAAGGACCAGATGTGGAATGAACCCAGCCCTCTGAGGCAGCAACTCTCAGCCCACAGGCTTCCCATCCAGCAAAACTCGGTCCAGCATGCGTCAAAACTAACCCACCAATCTACCGTCTCAAGATACAGAAACCCTGAAAAACCAGGGATTATCAGAGCAACTATGAGATTGTTCCAAGAGGTTGGCTGACCCTGTTCAAGAAACATCTTCAGCAGAGAAGCGTCCTCAGGGACCTTCAAAGACCGGGCTTTCGCAAGCGCAGCTTCCAACAGTGCAAGGTCGCCGCTGTCAATAGCAGCCTATGCTCTCAAGCTGGGGTTCAAGCTTTGGGGTTTAGAGGTTTAGGTGTTGACTTTGGGAGTCTCTGGGCTGCCGTAGCGCCTGTTCAGTGGAGGAGTTTGACTTTTCAGCTATTGCAAGCGCACAGAACCCTGCCCCATGACCTATATACTCCAATGTAGCTCTACAGACAGTCGTCGCGTCCATTTCCCCTCGCATCTTCTTCATTTGAATCTCCATTACTGGGGGGTTATATCCCTGAACGCCATACAGTCCACATAAGATGGAAAACATACACCGGCCCATGTCATCAGAAGTGAACATCAAGGCCTGAAGTTCCTCCGCTGCTTTTGCCCGGGCTTCTGCTTCCTGGTGCTGGAAGACATGCGAGGAATGCGACAAAGAGAGGTTTCGGGATTATGTGTAGAAGTAGCTGTGGGTAATCTCACGAACATAAATCAACAAGGACCCATGTGTAGGAAATGCGGTATCAACACCTTCCGTTCTTTTCTTCTGCTGTCGCCCTTGCCCGCCCATCAGAGTCCTTCAACTCGCAAAGGCGATCACGTGCTTTCCTGGGAATCCATAGGCAGAGCGGGCTTTGAGTGCACAACGGTGTTGGACGTTGAGTTTGGCTCTAATTCACAAAAGGTTCACGTAGCCATGGAGGATATGCTTGGGCTCTGTATGAGAACCCGTTTGGGCCCTATGTATTTACTACACTACAAAAACCTACATGGACTTGTGTGACATAACTTCCATACGCTTACTGCGAGCTTTTCCCGGGAGAAATTTTGTTACAATGATACGATGGCTGCTCCTATGATTCCTGACATTTCCCAAGCCCCTACAAGCCATATCAACCACAAACCCTTGGTGGAAAAATGATTGTTCTGAACCTTGCTTTCGCAAAGAGCAACCCTTTCTTCTCGCAGATCACAACTGAGACAGCGATGTTGTTTGTCGGACAAGGGTTTATGGTGTGCATGACCCTTGCTGCTCCACGGTTGTTACTGCATCAGCAGATCTGCTATCAAATTTTGCGTGGTTAGGAGTGAGGCTGAAAATGCGTTCCTTTAGGCCGTTCGGCCTGTTGCAATCTAATCCGATGAAGGTCCCCTTGAAGGGTCTAATTAACTTGTCTTAGCTGCCCTGAACCAAAATCCAAATCATCATGCTGACGGAGGCAATCCCACAACACCTAGAGGCCCTGTGTCTTTGGAATTAGAATAGCTTGGAGACCCTATAGGTGCTAGGTGCAAAGTTTCCTATGCAAAGCTGTGGAACGTAGCCCCAAATCCGTAAACAACGTTCACACATTGCCCTGAAGCCTACGCTCGCAAGCTTGGAAACTTGTGTTGAGGCACTCTAGCAGATCTGCTCCCGCACCAGCTGCTTCTGCATCCTTCAATGCCTTCTCGAGAACCTGCCGGGCAAGAAATGGGTCCCAGCCTAGCGCTCTTTGTAACAAGCATGCCAACAAAGCATGCAAGAGCCCCCTACTTCTCAAAGTTGCTCGGGCTGCCAAAATCACTTTCTGTTCGGGCGGTCCGTGGGCATTCTCTCCCTAGGCTGCTGCTGCTGCCGATCACTTGAGCAGGGGTTGCACTAATTCCTAAGACATTGCTCAGTAAGATGCGAGCCTGGATGTCATGGCCCTCCATGGCCCTCGAAAGACAAGCTTGTGCGCCCGCAGCATGCAGCACCGCTTGTGCTGCACGTAGAACCTTAGGCACGGCTGCTAGAAACAGACCCTGTTGAGAAGGGCCTTCAGAAAAAGCTCCCAGCTTCAGTATGTGCAGGAGACCTCAAATCCGAGTATAAATGGTCTTGCAAATAGCAAGCTTACTTTTACTTCTCCAAGAATGCTTGCCCGTTAAGCACAGGGTCTGAAGGGCGTTGCGACAATAGAGATTTAGGGTCACTTAGATTAGATGAGGGACCGGATGTGGAATTGAACCCAACCCTCTAAGGCAGCAACCTTAGCCCACAGGCGTCCCATCCAACAAAACTCGGTCCAGCATGCGTCAAAACTAACCCACCAATCTACCGTCTCAAGATATAGAAACCCTGAAAAACCTCGGGGTGCCATGGATGCACAGGGATTATCAGAGCAACTATGAGATTGCTCCAAGAGGTTTTGTTGCGGACCCTGTTCTTTATACGTCTTCAGCAGAGAAGCGTCCTCAGGAACCTTCAAAGAGCGGGCTTTTGCAAGCGCAGCTTCCAAAAGTGCGAGGTCGCCGCTGTCAATGGCAGCCTGCACTCTCGAGCTCAGGTTCAACGTTTAGGGTTTCGGGTTCAGGGATCGATTTTGGGAGTATGACGGTCCCGGGATGACTTGAGGGCCTCTGGGCCGTTGTAGCTCCTGTTCAATGAATTTGACTCTTTCTCCAGAGGTTTTGGGGAACTGTTAATGGGAGTGAGGAATCATCTATGCAATTTCCGAAGCCCCTGCTTTGCATGGGCGGGAAATCAACATGGAAGGGAAAGGTTCCCACCAAGATTTTCAGAGTTCAGCTCCAAAGATCAAAAATTCTTCTGCCGGCTCAGTGAAAACAAGGGTTCTCACTTCATAAATAGATCCCTCTACTCAAGTAGTCGTGCAGGTGGGCATGCACATGTGAGCTACTGTCTAAAAGCCTAGTATCCCCCTTAATATACCCTAGAATAGTCCCCTATATAATCCCCCATATAACCCCCTTTAAGGAGTTTAGACTATAGTTCATATGGCTGTCCGGGTATGCATACGTTCATGAAGCATGTGCTTCTGCCTGCAGGCTGGCGCCACTTTCAAATGATAGAGTCTCTATGACGAGGATCCACCAGGAGGCCGTGCTTTTGGAAAGACACACATGGAATTTTCTCAAAGAGTCCGAATAGAAAAAGCCTGAGTAGGACTCCCATGTCGTTAAAATCTGCTTCCAACGACAGAATCTGGCCCCTACACCCTACATACTATGCAAACGTAACCCTATATACCGTAATTTCAATTTCACGTTCCATGTTTTTGTTCATCTAATTTGATTCTCCATCATTCGGGGGTAATATCTCTGAACCCTATACAATCCAACTACAACCCCATGATAAGCCATTGCAAGCAGACCCCCGACCATGTCATCAGAAGTGAACATCAAGGCCTGAAGTTCCTCCTCTGCTTTTGCCCGGGCTTCTGCTTCCTGGTGCTGGAAGAAGTGAGAGGAATGCGAAAAAGAGAGGTGTCCGGATTATGTAGAGTAGCTGCGTGTAAGGATTCACGAAACTAACGAACATAAATCAACAAGGACCCAAGTTTAGGAAGTGCGGTATCAACAGCTTCCGTTCTTGTCTTCTGCTGTCGCCCATATCCGCCCATCAAAGTCCTTCAACTCGCAAAGGCGATCACGTGCTTTCCTGGGAGTCCAGAGGCAGGGCATGCTTGGAGGGAACGAGGTCCGAAATTGAGTTTTGCTCAAATTCTCAAAAGGTTCACGTAGCCATAGAGGATATGCTTAGGCCCCAGTATATCTGTATGAGAACCCGTTTGGTATTTACTACACTACAAAACCTACATGGACTCGTGCGACATAGCTTCCATACGCTTACTGCAAGCTTTTCGCGGGTGTTACAATGATACAATGGCTGCTCCTATGATTCCTGAAATTTCCCAAGCCCGTACCAGCCCTATAAACCCCTAACCCTTGGTGGAAAAATGATTGCTCTGAACCTTGCTTTCGCGAAGAGCAACCCTTTCTTCTCGCAGATCACAACTGAGACAGCGATGTTTGTCGGACAAGGCTTTACGGTATGCATGACCCTTGCACTACACCACAGTTGCTACTGCATCAGCATATCTGCTATCAGAAATTTGCATGGTTGGGAGTAAGGCGGTAATATGCGTTCTTCTTCGGCTGTTCTAGGCCGATACCTAGTTTTCCACGAAGGTCACCTTGAAGGGTCTGATTAACTTGTCTTAGCTGCCCTGAACCAAAATCCAAACCATCATGCTGATGGAGACAATCGCACACCACCTAGGGCCCTGTGTCTTTGGAATCAAAATAGCTTGGAGACCCTATAGGTGCTAGGTGCAAAGTTTCCTCCCGCGAAGCTGTGGACCGTAGCCCCAAATCCGTAGACAACGTTCACACATTGCCCTGAAGCCTACGCTCGCAAGCTTGAAAACTTGTGGTGAGGCACTCCAGCAGATCTGCTCCCGCACCAGCTGCTTCTGCATCCTTCAATGCCTTCTCGAGAACCTGCCGGGCAAGAAATGGGTCCCAGCCTAGCGGTCTTTGTAACAAGCATGCCAACAAAGCATGCAAGAGCCCCCTACTTCTCAAAGTTGCTCGGGCTGCCAAAATCATATTCTGTTTGGGATGATAACAATCCCAATTGCACAATTGCCAGAAGATGGGTGGTTTAGGGCTTATACGGTTGACTGATGCGAATAGCCCACGCCCATCCGAAGCTTGCACAGCCCTATGCAAGAAGAGATACCAAGCATGCCTGGTCTCATAATGGTGAGCAAGGGGATCTTCATGGAGAAAGCTGGAACTATGCCGGCTACTTTCAGCAACAATCCATTGCATTCTAACTCAGCCGGTTGTACACCCAAGCTAGCTAATCCTAAGCCAATCTGACTCCACCCAAACTTTCCGACGCCCGCCTCCATATCTCGTCCTGCCACAGCTTTTGACAAAGCCTTCATGCTCAGTCCATATGCGCTGAGGCCGCTGTCGTCCTGCGTTTTAAGGTCTTAGGCTGCAGGGTCTCTTCTACTTCTGTGTCCCGATTAATTCTTGCGAGCTCCCGAGGAAGATGATTTTTGAATCTGTGTAGGATGTATGAAAGGGGCCCTGGTTTGGAGAAGTACCCATATGTGCTGAGGCCGATTCTCCGCAATGCATCTACAGGAAGATGGGCTGCTCTGTGGGGATATCAGGAACAAGCGCGCAAGGAATTCGATGTTCACAATCTTCCAGAAACGAGAGCAGCTAATTAGTATGGAAGGTTGCTCAAAACAAGTCCTTCTCCTTCCGAGCCCACATCAAACTTAAGTGCTTGGCTATGCTTGCATCATGCATGGAGGTAGTAGCGAAAAAAGAGTTTTCCATGGCAGAAAGCGGGGACGTCTTTTGCCCGACATCCACGCACGTAGCTTGCAGCTACAAGCGGCATGGCTCTTATATTCTAGCATGAGCAGTCCTGTTTGCCGATGTTGTTCTTGAACTTCCTGGCGACAACCAATGTCTATGGGTTCCCCTACTACCCCCCTCTATACTATTGGGTTATCCAGCGGAGAGGCCCCTAGACTCTATTTCAACTCCCCACGATGCCCATACCGAATAACCACACCCTGCCCCCCCCCACCCTCTAACCATAAATCGTCACCCGAATATGTAATGGTACTATGGGGCGTTGTACTATCAGCGGGGTGGGGGTCTAGTATTGAGGGTAAAGATCTATATATGGTTTCGCCCAGTACCCTCACCCTCTAGTGAAAAATATTGCACCCTATATGTAATGGCATTACAGTGGGTTATGTACTATGAGGGGTGGGGGGTGTTTAGTATTAGGGGAGGAGAGTCATCTACTTACACTCCTCATGTAAATTAATACATATATATACATCTCTCTCTCTCTTCTTCTTCGGGCTTAAGGGAGTACTGCTACTCCCCGGGCGCGCTCCCCCAGCCCTGCGTGGTCCAATGCGTCTCAGGTCGGGTACCCAGGAGGACCGACACACGGCATGTACCCAGAACACCCGTATCTCTCGCTCTCTCTCTGTCTCTCTGCTTTTTCACTTCGAGGGTCCCTGTGCTAGTTACTACTCCAGGGGTCCTCAAACTTTGTACCTAGACCCCCAAAAGTAGGTAGACGAATGGTCCCACACCCCGAAAAAACAGTCCAAAAGGCCAATGTTCTACATACTTTGGGGGGCCAGGTAAGCCCTACATCCTAAACCTGATTCCTCAAACCCTCCTGTCCGCCGCCGAAATTCTAACTCCTGCAACCCCAAGACCCACCAACCCCCAAACCTTGAATAACACAGTAGCCTCCATACCATTTTCCATTTGTTCCACTTGATTTTTCATCATTGGGGCAATATCCACCCTCTCTAGAACCCATAAAATCTAAGTCCTGAACCCTGCCTCCCAAAACCATACCTCCTAAACCCTAAGCCCTAAACCCTACATCCTAAATCCTAAACCCAGGCCCCCTGAAGCAGGTAGTGTCAAGTCAGCCGGGTGCACTGCGCTGCTTGGAGTATAGCAGTGGCTTTTGCCAAGGCTTCAACCTCCCATACAATGTATAATGATATATAGGAAAATATAAGAATATATACAAGTGTATATATATATATATGTAAGAATCTAAAATATAGGACTATATAGGGAGTTTATCAACAATTATTTTACAGCTGTCTGCAGAGATTGCGCAGGGGTCATATAAGCTACAAATACAGAATATATGGGTGATATAGGGGCGGTATGGGGATTATATAGAGGTTCTCTAGGGGTTATATACGGATTAAGTATGGGCTTATATACGGATATTGCACCCATACTGGAGAACCAAATGGCGCAGAAGTTGAACATGCAGTGCAAACTAGGGCTATGAAGTGCTGTTTAGGGATCGGAGTTTCTAGCAACTCGGGGTCCCTCTGCAGAGGCAGAAATCAGGATTAAAAAGCCGGGGTCTATATTGGAAGCCCCCATTCATGGAAGCCCTCCATATTGGATATACAAGGCCTCCAAAACGTGAACCCTAAAGAGTATCAGGCGTGGCAGATCTGTTGTCAGTTGTTCAAGGGACGGTTGCGGATTTGGATGTATCAATGAATGATGGGGCACAACTCCTCATGACTACACGCGAGCCTCTGAGTAAACCTCAAGAGCAAATCCCAAACTCCAACCCCAAACTTGAAACCCTGCACCCTAACTAAACCGGAACTTCAACTACAAACCCTAATCCTAAACGCTAGAGGCCCTCAACCCTCCCTGGCATTATGAGGAAGATGTGCAGGCAAAGACGGGGCCCTTGCGGCTGCCGGACTTCTAGAGCTGCCTGCAGGCTCGTATAGAAACTACTATTATATACTGGGGCAATACAAGGATAATGGAAAAGAACATGGAAACGATCAAATCAAATTGACGTATATATATGTATATATATATATCTCTCTCTCTCTCTCTCATTCATAACAGGATATATTTGAGCTACAGTCTAAACTCCTAGTATCCACCTTAATTTTCATAACCCATGCAGTAGTCCCCTAAATACTCCTTTGTACAACCCCACTGAGGAGTTTAGATTATGACTTATCTCACTTCTGTTCAGGTTGTTGGCAAGGTGTCACCAGCAAGCAGAATCAAAGTGGGTGTTATGGAAGAAGACCCGCTAATTTAGAAACACATGTCTGGGAGTCTCAAAATTAATTGTAGTCCCCTTAAGTAGATAGAATATGGGGTATCTGGGGATCTGATTATAATATATCCAAAGCCATACTGTTGATGGAGGAAATCTTGCACCACCTTAAGTCCCTAAAGTCCTAGGAATTACAGTAGTTTAGGGCCCCTAGGTGGTGCAAGATTTCATCCATCAACAGTATTCTATCTACATAAAGTGGACTAAAGAATTCTGAATAGACACTGCCGAAATCCCTTTAAGTCCCCAAGAGCCCTTACTCTCCAAGCCCAAGACCCTGACCGCTGTACATGTCGTCCATATGCCTATGCCCCTTTTGAAGGAACCTAAGGGACTAACGGTTTAGGGTTTAGGGTAACAATCATGAGAACCCCCCCCCAGGCCGCAAACCCCAAACCCCAATCAGGCTGTGGGGTTCAAGCTGGGTTCACGTTCACGCACGCACATCTCAGGACTGATCTGGTTGTTTATTGGGCTACTCCTGGCAAATATAGCTGCTTCTTCTGTATTGGCCGCTACTACAATAAGCATGGAAAATACCGAAAAATGACCCTGTAAATCCTTAACCCCGGGACCTCCCATGCCCTACATATCCCTGTTACATCCCGAGGTCCTAAGCCCTAAAACAATAAAACCCAAAACGCAAAAACTACATAGAAATCATATCTCCACTAAAATGAGCTGAACCCTAATCCCTAAACCCTAATCCCTAAACCGCATACATTAACACGGCATACGCTCGCGCCTTCGCTGTGAAAGGATGGGTTGAATGGCAAGGCAGGCCTTGGTACATAACGGGTTTAGGGTTTAGGGTTGGTTTAGGGCTATAGGGTTTAGGGTTTAGGGGTTTAGCGTTCAGGGGTTCAAGGGTTTAGGGTTGAGTGTTGCCCTAAGGGTCCAAGTACCCGATGGTTAGGTACTTGGGTTTTGGGCAATAGTAATTATAGTATAGGTTTTGGGTAAGCATATAATTATTAGGTACTTGGATCCTTAGGGTTAGGTGTCTTCGGGAATGGAAAAGAAAACGCAAACTAACATTTACGGCTGATGGTTTAGGGTATTGTCATACGTATGGTCCGGTTCTAACTCACACTGCGCGTAAGCCGTGCTCCAGGCTCACTGTAAACCTCTACAGGCGTCATGCCTGTACATAACTCCAGTTTCCATCTCATTTTCCACTTCATTCTCCAGTACTGGGATAGCATCCCCTGTAAAAGCCGTATAACCCCCACATAGTCCCTAAGCCGTGCTCCAGGCAGGTTCTTTGGTGGCGACCGCAGCGGAGGTGGCGGCAAAGGTCGTGGAAGCTGCAGTTTGGGTGAACCTCCAAAGTGAATTCCTTTCCCTCAACGTGCTCATAAGGGATGCCAATGTGGGGGGCTTCCTAAAATTAGGGGTACCATTTTGGGGGTCCCAATAATAAGGATTATAGTATATTGGGGTCTATATTGGGGTCCCCCTTATTTAATTTGGGACCGTACTGTGCGCTCTGCACAAGGGACCCTGATTTGTAGAATTCCCATGTGAGATCGCAGGAATTAATTTGGGTTGTATTTCCAGATCCGGATTCCTACAGGCAGAGTATCACGCTCAGCGTTTACCAAGCTCGCCGTCTATCAACTAATACCTTGAACATTCATCGGGTCCTGCCCCCACTAAACCCAAACCCTAACCCTAAGGGTCCAAGGACCCAAATAATAGCGTCCTAGGGCCCAAATACTATGATGTTAATGGTATTTGGGCCGTAGGACCCCAATATTTGGGTCCCTAGACCCTTAGGGTTATGCTGTGGGGACAGTACACCAAGCATACAGGCTTAACAGCTTGTGACCTTGATCCACCCCTCCACGTGACAAAGTGAGGTCACGAGATCTACGACACTTCCGAGTTACGCGACTTTTAGGGCATATAAAACATAAACAGGGAGACCCCAATATAGACCCCAAAATCCTATGACCCTTATTATGGGGACACCAAGAAAACGGCCCCTAATTCTCGGAAAGCCTCCTCCCTATAAACCCCTATACAACCTCAGTTTCCACATGCTTCACCATATGATTCCCCTTTACTCGGGCTATGTCCCTAAACCCAAAACCCCTAAACCTTAATATCCCTATCTAGCCCCTATATGATCCGTACATAACCCTTAGATATCCCCTTCATAACACGTTTATAACCATAGGAAGCCGATGCAGTCGCTGCCGTGCTACGTAAGACCTTGGATCTAAGGTTGAAACCATGAGTCCCTAGTATGGGCCCTTAACCCCGGGATCCTAATATACCTATAATTTACCCTGAACTGTCCCTAGAAACCAACTAACACGCTTAAGCCTAAGGGCCCATACAAGGAACCCTAAACCCTAAACCTTCTAACCCTAGATTGGAGCAGCGCAAGCCTTCCACAGCTGCCTCAGCTTTTTTCTTCTCCTGGGCACATGGAGGTTTCCCAAATTTTGGGGTAGCTTTAAAAGGAGTTGATAGGGGAAATATAGTGGTACATGTTGGGATAAATAGAGTTTAGGGTTTAGGGATTAGGGTATAGGGTTTCCCAGATCTAGGGGTACCTTTTGGGCCTTTTAAGGATTACAATATTTTGGGGTCTATATTGGGGTCCCTCGCCCTTTCGGGAAACTACCACCTGTTTCAGGCAGGGCTTCGGGATGTTCAGGGCCTATACGCTTTAGGGTTGCAGGGTTTAGGCCTTAGGGTTTTAGGGTGTAGGCTAAAGGTTTCAAGGTTTAGGCTTCAAGGCTTAAGGGCTTAGGCTAAAGGGTGTCAGGGTTTAGGCTCTTGGAACTCTTAGGT